TCAGATCCGTGTCATTAATCCCCATCCAGCTGGGCTTTAAGCCCAGCATTCGAGAATTGTTTGCCGGTGCAACTTCTTTTTCGTGTTTTCTTCACCTGTAATACATCAAACTCATGGCACTAGGCGGTAATGGTTTTTCAACCATTCTCGGGTTAGGGAGCCCTAAAATAGCACCAATCGGCTTAAACATACCATGGAATAATCACATAAAGTCCAAGAATTCCATATGTTAAAGCCGATTATCAGAATGCGTGCTAGCCTAGCCTACCAATTAAGCTACTTATGGCTAGGGTATGGCATGAGTAGTGCAATAGGATCATATAATGTACGATTATGATTGTGTATGTGTGTTTGGAGGTCTTGGTGGAATTCATTATTATGAATTTGTGGATTTAAATGTTGCCCATCAAGTGCTCGATAAAATGCCCAAACCACATAAAACTTGTTTTTCTTGATCTATTGCTTTTCAATTAAATTTAATTTACTAAGATAGACCTTTAGGAGTGTGTTTATGACTTTGGATTGAATATTTGATGCATGTTCCTTGAGTTTGAAAATCTAGCTCACGATTGATTTTGTGCTTCATTATGTTTTTAGAGCTAAGAGTTCAAGCTTTAGTTGTTGTCTAATGAGTTGATTCTAGCCTTCGGCCGGGGTTTAGAAATCTCTAGAAAGACATGTCATCCTTGTTTTTATGAATCTAGACCTTGACCCTAGTCAGTACACCATGCATTTCTACCTATGCACCTCTAGTTTCTACATTGTAACACTTAAGTGTGGGGGTGTTTAGAGTGAACCTAAGGATGCATTTTGTTGTTTAATTGATGAAGAGAGTTGCCTAATGGTTTGTTTGAACATGTTTTGTGATTTGTCTCTTCTAATGGCAATCCAATTGAGAGTGAGAGTGCTAGTTCTCTTAGCTCTCAACAAAGAAGAAACTGGAACAACCCATGATGAGAAGAACCACAAACCCCAAGAGAAGAACCATAACCTCAAAGCAATGGGCAACCACATCGATCATAACAAATCAACCAATGGAGGCGACTACGAACTATGATGGACCATCCTTACAAGTAAGAACATTTGATGTGCAACTACCATATGCTCCAACTGTGAATCAAAGACAACTTGGCGTCTAGGGGCCGATTTCTATCTTTTCTTTTTTCTTTATCTTAATTAAAACAGTGCTTAATTATCGCTTTATTTTTTTTTCATTTTGATACTTTAAAATCTTCTAGTACTAGTAGTATTCGTACTTATATTATATATCTATCGTACCTATAACTCTTAATTGTCTTCCTCTCTATCTGATGCACTTTATCGTTGTGAAAACCAGGAAGACAAAGACCTATACTTGTGTACCTTCACCAACCCACAACCAAAACCTATGGTAACCCTCACGATCTTCTCTTATAAAACTCCCACATTGAGGACAATGTGTTGCTCAAGTGTGGAGGGATGTGTATGAATGTTTGAATGAATATTATGATTGGTTGAACCATATATTGCTAGAATCCTCAATTGTTTATAAATGTAAGATGTTGATGAATACTTATGGGAGTGTGTGGTCACGATTGTGTTTGTGTTGTGGTGATCAATGGTCTAATGATAGTGTTTTGGAACCTTGAATACTATTACCCAAAAATTTTCAAATTGGAGGGTTCCAAAACACCTTGTTCCTTGCAACTCCCTACTCAATATGATTTGATTTGTTAGATGGTTGATGTGTTGTGCTCGCTAGGTGATAGTTGCATGATTAGAGTAATGATGTGTGGGTAATTTTACTATCTTATTCCTCTTTTGTGAGTCGATAATGTGTGCTATTTTAGGAAGAAAATGTGTGCGGGATTCTCTTTTGTGTCTAGTGAACTTAAAGCTTTTGCAGGTTTGCGCATATTAGAAAAGAAAGAAAAGAGTGAAACATCTTCTGAAAATAAGGCTCACGTGGGAGGCAACCAATCCTCACGGATTCGGAGTTTCCTTTGAGTATATGCTTGGGGATCAGATAGCTTTAGCACGTCCTGAACATCTTTCAATACTTACCATCCCCTATTCATCTTTCCTCCTCACAGAATCGTATGCCAAGGTCCAAAGTACCTGTTAGCGATTCATGAGACCTCAAATCTCTCGTCTGTACCCAACATGTGTAGCAACCGAATGCGGAGTGCAGGCTAGGAAGTGGTGCTCAGGTTAAGAAGAATCTGCCCATCAACTTCCCCACATATGACCTTGAAAGGGAATGATATGATTCATCCGCTCTTGGTCATGAGGGAGAGATGCTTGTTCGCAAAAGAATTGCAAAAGTTTGGTGGAATGTGCGTCAATGTCAGAAAAAGTGACCAATAAACGACAACTCCTAAATCTAAAGAGAGAATCAAGAGCACTGATAAACCGTTAATTGCATATGGTTTTACCCCTGTTCTTGAGCCGTTTGAGATGTTGATTCCCGTGTTTTAGACCGATTTCATGCTAGGTTGTGCTTGTTTGTGATATTTCAGGCCCTAGTACGTGAATGAAGGTTTGGGAGCGAGTTCAGGGTCGATTGGACGAAGATCCGACGTGTGGCGAGTCGCTGAGGAAGCCACACGGGCACTCATAAAACCCACACGGCCGTGTAAGGAACCAATGTGGCCGTGTGGGATTGTGCGAGGCTTCACACGGGCAGACTGGAGATTCTACACGGCCGTGTGTCCCTGGCCGTGTAGGAAGCCTGAAATCCACTTAATCGGAACGCCGCGTTTTGGACCTCACACGGGCAGCTGGGTAAGCCACACGGTCGTGTGGCCTGCCCGTGTGATCGGGATTTTCTGGGTTTTAATCCAAATTCGAGCAACAAGTGAGGGAATCGACTTTTCAGAGCAAAAACAGAGCCCTAGAGTGAGAAAGTGCGAAGAACAGATCCTATAAGCGATCTCGGAACGCCGCATTTTGGACATCACACGGGCAGCTGGGTAAGCCACACGGCCGTGTGGCCTGCCCGTGTGATCGGGATTTTCTGGGTTTTAACCCAAGTTCGAGCAACAAGTGAGGGAATTGACTTTTCAGAGCAAAAACAGAGCCCTAGAGAGAGAAAGTGCGAAGAACACATCCTATAAGCGATCTTGGAGCTGGGTTTCATCAAATCGAGCTTGGAGATCATCATAGGAGTGAAAATCATCATCCTAGAGCAGATTCTTCCCATCTTGATGAGTATGACTGCTTTGTATTCCGTTTTCCCCTCTCTCTCTATGGAGTAGACCCTTCTCTCACTTGTGTATGAAGAACCCTAGTTCCATGTGTTAGGGATCTTGATTGTAATGACTTGGGATGATTATACTGTCTTGTTTTAATTGAATGATGCATGATTCATTGAATTAATTGAAGTCTGATAAGCTTTTCTTGATTTCTGTTGCAACCTGAGATAGATAGAATCTGATTAGGTTGTTAGAGCTTCTTCATTCGGTAGTAGCAGATTGGCTATACGAGAGTTAGTCCGTCTACTGCTTTGTACTGGAATCCAATTCCAGTAGTGGAGTTTTGTGCTTATTGCTTCAGCTTTCTATCCCGGTGAAGACTAGTCGTCTGCCGTGTAGTTAGACTGAGAGGGCTTAGTCAGCTTAAGAGATTCCAAGCTACTGTCGGATCTTTCGCAGTTTAATCAACAGTAAATCAACCCAGGGTAATTACAACTGAGACCTAACTAAGGAGCTAGGGGGACTCATTCCCGAGTGACTCTTCCTTTGCTTCAGAAAACCGAACAAATTCCTGCTTTCTTACTGCTTTTAGTTAAAACAACAATCAATCGACTTAGTTTGCTAGATAATAGATAATCACGGAGTAGGCAGTAGATCTAGACCCCTGGTTGATAATTAGAACTTGCCACTATTCTGCATTTCCGAACTGCGATTACACTTGGTCGCAGTTTGGTGTTGTGTCTTAGCGTGTCAAGCACCTTCAAGAGTTCTAGTTCGTGTTTGTTGTCTAGGAATCCCTTGGAGCACACCTTGAATGTTCGGCCTAAGGTAGTAGGTATGGTCCTCACCTGAGAGTTTGTGCTTGCACAGTAGGAAGATAATAACGTTCATTCATCTCCGTCTACTCTTCTTTATGCAATGAAGAACTAGAGTGCATTCCCCATTGATTTGTCTGTCATGTTGCATTAGGTTTGAATAGGTTTGTTTGGGGATAAGCAAACGACTAAGTGGGAGTTTGATAACACCTAAATTAGTGTTATTTAACTCTCATATCAAGGTATATTTCATGCCAATTCATGTAATAATTGCTTGAACATCGTCGATTACATCCCTATTTCATTCCTATGTGAATTCAATATGATTTTAGGGTGTAATAGACGATATTGCGAATTAGGTACAAAACAAGATCACAAGTAAAGTACTGGGGCAGGAAGCTGAAGATCATGGCCTGGAAACTGAAGATCACGGCTGGGAACATAGAGCGCAAACACAAGCTGAAGATCGCGAACCAAAATCCCCAGATCGCGACCAAGAATTGGAGGGCTCAGGGCGTGAACTTCGCGAGGAAGGAGCCAGGGAGAAATAAAGACTTTCCCCAATCGAATCACTGGCACAACATCATTTGACCGCAAGGAAGATTATGAATGCGAATCGTGGATCATGATCGTGAAGTCAGCCCGTGATCTCCTCATTTGCGAAGGCTAGGACAACAACATTTCAAGATCGCGGTCTCACTTCCAAAGATCACGACCGCGATCTCTATGCTTCTGGCCGCGAACTTCTCCGTCCCCAGATTGCCTATAAATAGAAGAATCCTTTTCCCCTTTTAGATGAGCTGATTTTGAGAGAAATTTCTGTTTTTAGAGAGAGAGAGAGAGAGAGAGAGAGAGAGAGAGAGAGAGAAGCTAAAGGAAGGAGAAGAAGGAGAATGAGCTAGAAGAGACACATCATCTTCCTCAACCCAAGTCTTCTTCATTTTCTTCTATGTTTCTTCTTCCCTCCTTTATGGAGTAGTCCACTAAGGTACTAAGGGGTGTAAACCTAAAACCCTAGTTTTAGAGTTTATTATGTACACATGAATATTTTAGGGTTTGAATGAATGAATGTGGTTATCTAGTTGATTCTATTGCTATTCTATCCTTGATGGCGTTTGGGTAAGTTGCCCTAATCTTCTCTATTAGCCTACTTTATTATTCTACGCTGGGTATGGAGTTCTAGGGTTAGACGGATATGCGCCATCAAGCAAATCGAGATAGATGTATTAATAGGGACCTATGGTAGTTGAGGAGATCGAACCCCTGCCGTAGGTTAGCCTTCCTAGATAGAACCCGGGATGAAACCTCGGTGTGGACGGTGGATAGTGTCCATTGAAATGAGCCATGAGCTAAATGTCCCAGATACGATAGCCTAGATCGATGTGACTATATATGGGTTTAGAGGAGACGTACTCGAAGGCGTGTGGATAGTCACGAAAGCCGGAACAGAGCTCACTCACCAACCCTAAGTATTTAAGAATGCTTAGTAACCCTAAGCTAGGGGGAGGATTAGTTCCCTGAAGTACCTGCTTTTAACTTTGATCAATCTCTAGTCTAGTTATCTCCTCAAGTTCTCCACTCAAACCTTCAAAACAGATTAACTAATTAGCAACTAGGTGGGAAGTAGGCTAGAATACTAGGACCCGAGTAAAATACGACCTTGATCACCTCTATATGACAATGTCATCTTAAGTTATACGACAATGTCATCTTAAGTTATACTTAGCTTATAATGGGATAGTTGTTGACGCGTGCTAACTATCCTATCACCCGCCAACTACCTCCAATAATCAAACTAAAATAATGAAATAAAAAGTGAGCTATACACTAAAACTACCACAAACAAAAACATACAAGATTTTTTTGCCTAGTAATGGCGGTGGATGGTTGCACATTTGTAGTATAAATAGCAAGCCTCTCTTGTGACAGATTCAGAGCAAGAAAAGCTAAAAGATAGAGTGTAAAGAGCACCAGCTCTTGTGTGTGAGAGTAAACGTCAATAATTGCCTAGTGTGTGAGTGATAATAAAATTTCTCTGAAATTTTGATCCTAAACTCACTACATATTCCCTAGTACCCAATAATCATTAAGATGACACTAATTCTTGGAAAGGATCTCCCTCTCATATTAACTTCTTAAAACCTCATAAGTCATAACTCAATATTTACAATATATTGGGTTTTCTGTAGGACAATCCTAAGGCCCACGTTTCTGTGTCCTAGTACAACAAAGAGTACAATTAACAGTTCCATGATACTGCCGTTATTTGTTTCTCATCTGCCGTCGATTTGTCCTTTCTCCAGCCAGCGTCGTTGTCTTCTTTTCTCCTTGGCCGGCATCGTGTGAAAGAGAGAAGATACAGAGCCTTGGCCGGGATCGTGTGAGAGATAAAGAGGAGGCAGAGAGAGACGTGCGAGAGTGGTCAGCAACTAATCCCATTCCATTATCCAATGTCCAACTCGGTATTTTACTTCACAACTATTACAGATTATGGAATTGATCGTAGGTTAATTAGGTTGGCAAAATATGCAAGACAAGAGCGTGCAATATAAACAGAAAGAAAATTGTTATACAAGGAATCGGTATATCGAATGGCATTTTTTTAGTAAACTGTTTTCATTTCAGTATTGTTGGCAAAGCTATATGTCGGGATACAGAGGAAAGTCAGTATCGTAGAGGACTGCGGTGACAAAAGCTAGTAAGTAGGATCAATATGAACTAACAAGGGGAAGAAAAAAAAGATCAATACATTGATCCTTCATTTCCATGCCTCAACTATAGATTTTAACACTCGTGATCACATGAGAAAGTCCTGGATCACCTGCAAGCTGCAATGGACTCCACGAGAGGGTCAGTAGGACCTGGTTCACTAATTTTATTTCCTTGGCAATTGTACGGCCAGTGAAATCAAGCTCCGAATCGTCTGGACTAAACTTCTCTGCTGCAGTGGTACTTGCATTGAAGCGTTGGATGTTCAGTGGAAGTAGAATCGGGGAAAGCGGCAAATGTCGTTCCTAACCATGGAACTGTTTATATTAATAGAACTAGCAGTATCATCGTTATTCCGATGAAGAGAGCTAGCCGTATCTTCAATCCCCTCATCGTCAACCAAAGATTTTGCAGTTCTTCTCTTCTTGAAATTCTGTCTTTTAACGTTTTCTGGAGCCGAATCCAGCTTCTTCGGAGTCTTATTACCAACTACGGATGCAGCGTCGGATAATAGGGAAGAGCTCCGACACTGATGCTTACCGAGAGACAAAGACATATATTCACTGTAATTGTAGCTGCTGTAAAGATCGTCGAAATATGCAGTCCAGCCACTCTCTTCATTGGCGCCACTGACATTTCTTTCCGTATCACGGGAACAGGAAGTGAGGCGCTTGCCGGTCACAGACTTAGTCGACCTTTCCATCTTTAGCAATCAACAGAAAGAACGAAAAGAGCAAATTGAGCAGTAAAATAACATGTGTAGACCATGCTATTTAGATGGACTAAGAGGAAAACGGACTAGCTTCCTGTTTTTGCAATGCTTAAAGTTTAGAGGGGCTAATATATAGAGCGAAATAAATTGATAGCAAATAATAAGAAATGAATCATATGGTGAGAATTAATTTATAGTATGAATAATTCAAGTACCACATCGAAATACAAGGAAAGGAACTCTTATATACTGGAAATAATACAAGGGATTTGCGATTCGCGTCTGTTTGACGGATCAAAGAGAGTTCCGCATCTGAGCTATATCTAGTTTGGCAGATTAAAGAGATTTCTCCGTCTGTGAAAATCCTTGTATCGAGAAACCCATCGATACAAGGTGTTCGGCGGATCAAGATAATCGCTAAGGAGAGTACACGAAGTTTGTGGACCTTGTCTTGAGGGGAGGATTGTTATGAGACAATCCAAGTACCACATCATAAAATACAAGGGAATAAACCCTTGTACATTAGTGTCCACCTAGCCCAATTAGTACGAGGCATTTTGGGGAGGATACCCAATAGTAAAACCGTGTGGGTTGGCCGAAAGCGGACAATAACGTACTAATGAACTATCCAGTTATGACAGATACTACTAGTATCTACAGATCTCTATTGACTCTAAAGTAAATTGCCAAATTACATAATGGATTTGGATTATTCCCAGTAAATTTTTTTTTGGATTTTTTCGGTAATTAGAGAATCTTTTATAGCTCAAATTTGATAATACGATCAAGCCTCAAAGAATGACATTACAGCTACAGAAACTAAATTGACAGTTAATAAGAATACTATCTATACAAGATCACTTGATACTTTAAACAAATAACCCCGCAACTAGGGATGAGCAAAAAGACCAGCAAACTAATCTATTCGATCCAACTCATCTGTATTTAGCACTAATATTAAGGTTTAAGGTTGGCTGAGGGTTTTATTTTGCACAACCTGCTACTTTTAGGTTGTGTGCGGATTTTGAGTTACGCAACCCGTAGAACCCGACCCAGCCTGTATTCCAACAATTGTCATAAGTGTTATAGCAAAAAATATAGTTTTGTTGTATATAAGCACGTCTGTGAGAAATTAAGATATTTTGTCGTGGTCTCCCAAACCTAATGCAATTCTTCAACTTAGAATTTAGACGTGAGTTTATATAGGTTATGCTTCACGTAAATTTTTTGTTACAATTTTAGAAGAATAACATATATACTATGGATGTGTTTGCTTATAAGTTATAATATTTTTAGCTTCTTTCATCAAATGCTTCTAGAAAAAAACTAGATATATGTTGAAGCAAATTGCATTTCTTTAAGTACCAAAAAACATCTATGAATTTTGATATTTTTCACCACGATAAGTTTGCTTTAAATTCTAATTAGTTACATTATATTTTTGTGTTGTAAAATAATTGTATTTTTTGTTGGGTTATTACTTCAAATACCGTCCGTACCACCCAACCTAATTTTAAACAAATAGTAGGGTTCTTGTTATTTTGGGTGGATTTGATTTTAGTATTTTCAAAACCGTAGTATATTGGTTAGGTGATCAATACTACTGCTAAAAAAACTACTATTTGCAAAACTATACATTTGAACTTCCTCTCTAATTATGCTAATCAGTACTTGACTACTTCGAGGTGAAGCGCCAAAGACTCCCAATCAGATGTCTCTTTCCATAGAATACCCATTGTCCAACACCACAATGCTCTCATTGTTATGAAACTAATGGAAAATATAAACAACTACAAAAGAATATTAGAGAGGGAAAGACACAAGAGAAGAGAAGGTAGAGTTCTTCTTATTCATTCATCTTTTTTGATACAATGGTGTGCGCTATTTATAGGCACATTTTTGTAACCACTACATCCTTGTATTAATGACAGATTATGAAACATAAAGGAGCTATCAAATATAGGAATAGGGGTTACATGTGATTCCCAAGTGAGCATCTAATGTGGTAATGACAATGATCATCCATATATCAATATTTACATAATACTCCCCCTTGGATGACCACTAGATTGCATTATGCTATCTCAAATTGCCTCGTTAATAACCTTACCAGGAAAACCCAGTGGGAAAAACCATGGTTAAGGGAAAAAGTGTGCAATGCATATATGTTCCCCTCATGACCACATCACTTAAGATCTTTGAGTTGTTGAACTCAAATTTCACGAACAACTTTTACAAAGATTGTTGTCGGGAGTGAGTTAGTGAACAATCTTCTAGATTGTTAATTTGATGCACGATCTTTAGATTTTCTTCATACATGATCGTCAGGATCATTTCCTTTGGAAATAGTTCACAACCACAAGTCCTTTAGGTATGGTGAATCACAAAGTGTAACGAAATACATTCAGGACTTGCCTACTATAGCTTATTTTGTTTCTCTATGAAACAGTTATATCACCATATATAAGAGATAGCTTGTGTCCGATCAACCAATATAAGGATCAAATGGTATATAGGATTTGGATATATAGTTCACCAAATATCTTTTTGATAACACCATAATAGAACAATCACATATATTGTTCCTGGAGGTAGCTAAGATTTTCCAACATTCCAATGAGGGAAACATTGTATTTTGCTAATATTATCAACACCAAAATGATAGCTTATATGGTGCTTGGCTAGCAAGGTGCATTGGTGCTCTACTGCATCAACATATGGTACTGCAGGATCTGGTACATCAACATATAGTACTTAAGGACCTAATGTTTCACTTTTTCCTTATGCCTAAATGGATATTTGGTCGCCTCTAGTGATCTTAGGATCCTAATGTTATTTGATGAACACAATTTGTTCATGCAAAATTACTTCCCCACTTTTTCAACATTATCTTCCTTGCCCATAAAAGGATCACAAATTCTTCAATTTAACTTTTGTCTCTAAGCAATCAAATACTTTAGGAAGCTCTTCAGGAGCTCCAATAATAATCATATTATCAACATAATATGAGATCGTCACAAAGAATTTATGCAAACAATTCTTTCATATAACGAAAGATAATAACAAAACTGACATCATAGAAACAATATGAACTCGACAAAGCACACTCAAAAAACACAAATCATACTTTAAAATAAAACACAACACATAAACCAATAACTTAAAATCCTTGAAGCACATACATACAACACAACTATATATGCACAATGCAAATGCTCTAATGCACTCTATCCAGATTTAACCTTTTAAGGTCCATTCACCCTACTGTTGTAGGTGTTCACTTAGACGAGTATTTCACATTCGTCTATATTGTCTCAACCCATACACGGGATATTCTTAGTCTATCGATATATGTTCTCGAGAACTTTACTTGTTTACTGCAGGTAAATTAATCCTTCTAGGAGTGTCAAATATATATAACATCTTCAGGAAATTCAAACAAATAGGCTATCACAAGTCACAACAATTTTCAAACATTTATTTAAAAAGTAGTTGCATCCACCACAGGGTAGTATAACTCCTCTTAAACAATGATAGGTCTCTTCGAGAAACCCATTGCAAAACATTGTGAGATATCTCTCACAATTTCATACTTTCCAATAGCACAAAAATGTGTTTGTATCTTGCTATTTTTACCCTTTTTCAGGTGTAAGGACTTCTGGTCCTTAAACTTTATGCTCTTTGAGCAAGTTTCGTGATTTCTTTCTATATTGGCCAATAACATCATCATTTGCATGCATCAATAGAGTTTTACTCTTGATCCTCACTTGTATATATAATATTCAGTACTGAAGTAAAACAAACAAATTTTGTCGACAATTGACTTCATTACGGTTCCAGTATTGTAGTCTAATATGTTTTTGAGATCTCTTCCCTTTTCACAACTTTCAGAGACATGTGTTCTTCTGGAACTAAAATTATACTTAATTCTTGGTTACTCTTCTTGAGTTTTCATCTCCTCGAGTTGACCATTCTAATAACACCACCTTTTTTTCTCGAGGATGTTTATCGTTGGAACCGATTGGTCTATCACGCTTCATGCGCTCTTTTAGATACATTTTTTATATATATTAGAGTATCCAACAAGGATATCAAATTTAGTTAGAGCATTCACAACTAGTATATATGACTTGGACACTTTGTATAGTCAGTAAAGACATTTGATAGTTGGTAATGATAATTCATCTTATGAACTTCAGGTTCATGTTTCTTAATTTGCGGATCAGTGCACTACATTGAGTAGGAATTGGAATAAGTTATCTTAGAAAAGAAGACTTCTTCAACCACCACATCAAGCGGTGTAGCGAACCTTATAGTTGGTGATACCACGTTTCTGGATTCTACCGACCCCAGGCCCCCTCCGGGGAATCTATAGACAGAAGGAAATGTCAGTCGAGCTCAACTTCTGACAGGCCCACACAAGTGCGATACAAACCTTCTCGATGTGTGTGTATTTCTCTTCGTAGATGGCCATCTTCTTACTAAGATAGTAAATAGAGCGCTCAGTTTTGGTTCCCGGCAACACAAATTCTCAATTTCCAACGAGAATCAACTTAAGTTATTGTGGTGGAGCAATTGGGATGTATGCGGCACACCCTGATATTCTCATATGCAAAATTTTGGTTTCTGACCAAAACCATTTGTAAAAGGAGGAACTTATGATAACTTGTTGGTTAGATGTGAACCAATACTATCACTTTCCAGCTAGCATGTCCTCGACAAGTGACTAGAATGCTCAGTTTGTTCTCTTAAGCAAAGTGATGTTTGATTGGATAACCATCCAAATGTATCCATAGTGAGGCAATCAAACTCGTAAACATCGGGTTGCAATTAGATAAAATAAAAGTTATCATTCATTTGACGCAACAACCATAAAATTCACGAATGATCCACATGACTTATGTATTGTTCTGCATACACATCCATAAAATCTCAAGAGATTTGCCAACTCTTATACAAGCGATAATCAATTGTTCTATTCTGCTTGAGAACAAACATGACATAATAACTCTTTTAGTTGAAGAGTTCTTTGACTTCTCATATGATGTTCTCATGAATTCTCAAAGAACTTTTTTCACATCAAGATCCGGGATGGTCTAACCGGA